ATTGGCTATTTCAAGAACATTCACGTGAAAGTCATGAATACTTTCATCCTCTATCATCTTCAGATTTTTAAACAAGGTAGTCAGCAACTGAAGTCTGGGCATCATTACCTTAGATGTGCCTTCACGAGTTGTCTTGAGAATTTCCCAAGCATCCTTAGCTACAGTGAACAACCTAAACATATTTTTGTCAACTCCATTGAATAAATCATTCAAGGCTTTGGAGTTTCCAAGAGCAGTTTCATCTTCCACCTTTGTCCAATCCTCTTCTGGCTTCAAGGTCTCCTTCCCATCTTTATCATTAACCACAAGGTGCTCCCAACCCTTGATGATAGCCTTCCAAGTTTTGTTATCTAAATATTGTAAGAAAGCCACCATACGTGCCTTCCAATAGTCATAGTTAGTGTCATCTAAGACTGGGAGTCTGCTAACATTTCCTCCTCCCTCCTTATCCATAATACCAGAATACAAACTCTCTGGAGCTCATCCAAAAACAAAGCAGGATGACCTGTTCTGATGCCAATTGAAATTCTGAAACTTTAAAACAGATGTCAAGACTTATGTCCCAACACCAAAACACAATATCAAGATAAATGTTAAAACATCATCTGCTGACAAAAACCAATTAAATGCAGAAGGTAAATTGCAGAAGAATAAATAACACTAGTAGTTGTTAACCTAGTTAGGTGCAACTCACCTACATCTGGGGGCTCCCAAGTTAGGATGAAAATCCACTATAATAGTATCAGTTCAAAGCTAAACTCCCTCGTTTAGAACTTATCACCTAATCACCACCCGTGCTAACTTCTAGCTAGGAACTCCTAGATATGAGAAACCCCTCTCACTTCTACCAGTCACAAACCAGTGACAATTCAACAACACCAAAATAGAAGTGACACACTTCCAAGACAATACTTAATTTTGCTTAAAATCTTCAACTAAAAACAACACACTATTGCTTAAAAGCTTTAGAGTGAATAATTAACAATAAACAATCAATCAACTCAATGCATCAAACCTGATACAAGAGTGACATACAAACGAAGCACACTAAACCCTAAAACACCACCAAGACACGGCTAATCCTAATTCTCCTAAATTTTTCAATGTCCAAGTTGAAATAGGTTTAGCTCCTTTCTTTAAATAGCCTTCAGACCTCGTAGGCTTGGATTTCTTGAAGTGAATATCATCAGGAATCAGCTTTCAATCATTAGCATAATTTCCTGCACAATAATAGGAACAAAATACAAAGTTTCCTATAAAGTCTCCAAGATCCTTTTTATGAAACCAAATCAAATCTGCAATGTTCCTAAAATATCCTTGCTTAGCTGCACCTGTATGAGAACTAAAATAATCTAGAATCTCATTTTAAAATCAAATCTTCAAGGATTTAAAATGCAGAGCTGTTATGATGTTCGAATAAAACATGTCACAACATTTGTAAAGAAAAGTAACAACAGACTATGATCTACCAGTTGGTCAAGATGTCATGACATCTTGCTCAACTTCGGGCTATGATATATGTTTTTTCAAATTAAACATGTTTTACCAAAATTGTTGCCAATTATAAAATTACAAACCTAACAACCACAATGATCTTGATAGAGACACCAATGTAAATTAAGGTTTAATTTCGAAAACCCTAATTTTTGGAGAAATGGATTTTTAGGGTTTAGTTTTGATGCGTTTTTTGTGTGTGTGCAGAAAGTTTGGATTGATAGAGGGACGGGTAAGCTTCGTTTGACTATATCAGCTAATAAGGAACTATCGATAACTGGGGTTGATGATAGGAGATATTGCAATCATATCCTTACTGAAGAATCTAGGTGAGTTTTTTTTTTTTTATATTTTATTTTAATGTTTTTAGAATGTAGGAAATTTCTAGCACTGTGATTAGTTTTGTTTCTTATTGTCAAGTTTCGAATCAAAAGGTATGTTATTTTTTACTAGATAATAACAATTGATTATGTTATCAACCTACAACATTCAATTGATGATTCTTTTTCGATTTTTGAACTTTACTATTATCATTCTTTATCGAAACCCCCATTTTTCATTAACAGTTAAATTATAGCATTAATGGTTTTGTTCAAATTTAAAGTTCAAAATGTAAGATTTTGTTTTATTCTTAGAATTGATTCATTAAATATTTAAATTTTAATATTTATACAAATAAAGAATCATTGTATAGTTGATGAATCATTCAAGTTTGGAACCATATTCAAGTATGTATATAAGTGCTTAAGCTTATGCTAAAAGTGTGTAAATAATTAACATGGAGTGGATTGATATTTTTAGTATTTGATTCTTACTATATTTTTTTAAATTTATATTTGCGTGTCTACATACTGTCGCAATTGTTTATCTTTTTAAATGCTTCATTATATTTTCACTGTTTTTTTTTATTTAATGCTCTGAAAATATTGATGTTAGTTTTGGATGATTTGCCATTATAATTTCTGCGGAGCAAGAGTAAGTGGTTGACGCTGTCGCGGTTTGATGAATAAGCACATCATTGTCTTCTTTGAAAACTTATTTTGCAAACAATGAATCTCTGAGAAAATAAAAGTGAATAAATGCAACTTGGTGAGTTGGTTGTTGATATAGAAAAGACATTATCATGCAACATATTGAGTTATTTAGAGATTTTTTAAATTTATAAATTTATAAACTATTTTTATATGATTGGGGCAATAAATGAGCCGTGGAGCATTAAACCATTTTAATATAATATATTTAAAATTAATTAATATGATTAATTAATTCAAATAATAATATTTAGATTTGAATATGAGATTATTTGAATTTACAAAATTACAAATATTAAATTATTAATAAACATATTAAGAATTAAATAGAAATTTTTATAAAATAAGTATATTAATTGTAATTACAATAAGTCTGAAATGATCCGTTTGGCTAACTCAAAAGTCTGTTAAATTCCCTTTGTAGTTTATATCATTTGAAGTGAATGTGAAATTTGTATTTATTACTATTAATACAAAATGGAGAGAGATGGTTGTAAATGGCTTTTTTTAGAGAGACAATTGGAGAGGTTTTAAAACGGGCCAACAAAAATCATTTTTAATGTTTTAAACAAACTCATCATTTATACAATCTTAATTGGATTTCAAGGACTATATTTTTTCTTGATTGAATCAGCTGATTTTCTAACCTAACTAATAAATAGCCACAACACATTTTTATAAATTAAATAGTATGAAAAAGATGAATTAATCAATCCACTCTAATAAAACAAATTTTGAGTTATGTCAGAGAGATAATACTTTTTATAATAAAATAATTCAATTAAATTTATTAATCTTCATGCATAGACTCGTCATTTGAAATATGCAAGAAAAATAGACATGTTTGACAAACCGAGACAACCTAATATTTTTTGTTATATTTTAATTTGATATTAAAATATACAAGTTAAAAGTTGTACATATTAATATATATTAAATAATATTTTTGAAAAATAAATTTATTAAATTTATTGACCTTTTTATTTAAAATATGTGAAAAAGATAATGGATATTTATAATAAAAGAGGAGTAGGGATGACATTGAAGAGAAAAATACTATAATACATGTTTCCAAATCAAATAAAATTACTCACTAATATTATTTATTATATATTTATATACCATATTTTTCTTTAGATATCTCTATTTTTTTTAGGTGATATTTAATTCAATTAACATAATTTCTCTGTAAATTTTAACAAAACACTATTACTTTCTAAATTAAGTTAATATTTATATGATAATCATAATGTAAAATATTTTTTTATCTAATTTATATATTTTTTATGTATATATTTCTTAACTTAATTATATTATATTTATTTATTATTTATATCAATTTTGTGCGACCCGTACTAATGCACAAGGCTCTTATTAATTATTTATAAACCTTATTGTAAAGTTGGATTTTAAATAGGTTTTAAAGTTAGATCAAGCGTTTAAAAATATTAAATTAGATAAAAATAAGACTATAGAAGGTCATAGGTGAGATTTTGACTAAAATTTTTTTATGGCAAGTTAGATTCATACCTTTAAAAATCAGACCTGACTTATTGTTGCCCTTAGTACCAATGTATAGTTTTTATTTTACAGCCGCACTTTTTCTTTTTCTCAATTTCCTCAACAATGGTCCTAATGCATCTTCTTTGTGGCAATAAATTCATTTCTTCTTTATTTTATTAGTAATTTGATGTTATTAAGTTTTTTTTTTTATCAAAACATAATTTATTAATTAAAACATGTTCAATACAAAGAGGAATTAAGTTAAATCTATTATGCCTAAATCAAAAATTTGCCGCCCTAGCAAGAGAATGGGCAATCAAATTTGCTTGGCGTTTAACAAATTTCTCCTCAAAGTTATTAGAATTATGTAACAACTCTTTAATTGAAGAAATAATAAAGGAAAAGTCGAAACTACCGCCATGAGCGCAATGAACGACATGGACGACTTGTTAGGAGTCACTCTAAAAAAATAACATTTTCTAGGTGCAAATCAATTGCTCCAAGGATTGCCTCCTTAAGGGCCAAGGCTTCAGCTTCACTCACAGGCCAAGGGCCAGGATCCCAAGTCACTCATGCACTAATAAAAAATCCACGATTATCCCGAACACACCACCCTCTATTAGTAGTACCTTGGTTAAAAGTTGTATCCACGTTGCATTTCAAACATCCCTCCAAAGGTGGATTCCAAGACAAAGGGTGATTATGGACATTATCAGTCTCATGAACTTGTTGGGTCAGAAACCACTCTTGCCACTTGTGAAAGGCTAACCAACCAAGCTTAGGGGCTTCCACCTGCTCATTGTGCCAAATAAGATCATTTCTATTCTTCCAAATCTCATCCAGCATAGTTGCAAATCCGCCAGAATCTTTCATATCCTCCTTACTACAAATATAAAATATATGAGACTTAACATCAGAAAAAGAATGTAAACGAGCATCAATAATAGAGGACAACCCTGCTGCTCTTCAACACTAGTTAACCTCGGTACGCCCAAAAAATAAATGCCGATCATCTTCAATGTTATTCTCACACAGCTGACAGGTAGATGGACAAGGAACATAATGTTGTTGGAGTCTAGCACGAGTTGGTAGGCAACCTTTACAAATTCTCCATATGAGATGCTTGACTCTAGGTGGGGCTTTTATATTCCAAAGGCTACACAAATCCTCATTATCTCGCTCACTCGTATGACACCTACGCAAACTCCTCCATAATTTATACTCTGAGCACACACTATAATTACCATATTGTTCTTCTTTCCAAATCATTATATCCTCCTTAATATCCTCTAAAAGTGACACCTGTAAGATTTCCTTAGCATCTTCAAGGTCAAACAACTCTCTTATAACCTGCATATTCCACTGTTTAACATTAGGTAACATAAGATTTCTAACAGTAATGTTATATACATCTTCCTTTTGGGATCCACTAAGACAACCTTCCCTTTTCCCCCGAAGCCAGTGCTCATTCATGACCTTAATGTGGCTACCATCTCCAATACTCCATCTACATCCCAAAGACAAAACTTCCTTCGCCTTCCACACAACTTTCCACATAAAGCTAGGGTTAAAACCAAGGTTAGCATCCAAGAAAGAACTTCTAAAAAAGTACCCTGCCTTGAATATTCTAGCTACAAGAGCATGAGGTTTTGACATCAGATTCCAACCTTGTTTGGCGACCACGGACATATTAAAGGCTTTAAAGTCTCTAAAACCCAACCCACATTCCTTTATAGAACATGCCAACTTTTCCCAACGAATACTCCTGTTATTACTGCCTCCTCCCCACCAAAAGGAATTTAGCATCTTCTCGATATCACTACCTCTTTGAATGACCAATTTAATCATGAACTCTTTGCCCATTTGTGATAGTGATCTACCTTTCCAAGAGTTCATTTTCATTCAAATATAATCTTTGATGAAGGAAAAGATTGCCTTCTTGCTCTTACCAATCATAGAAGGCAATCCTAAATACTTTCTAGTACCCATCACATGACGAACACCCATAATGCTAGCAAGATCCTCCTTAGTTGGATTACTAATATTTTGACTAAAGAAGACTTCAGATTTAGACAAATTAATCTTTTATCCATAGGCTTCAACATAAGTATTGAGAATCTTCATAAGGTTTCTAACTTCGTATATATTGGCCCTACAAAATAAAAAACAATCGTCAGGAAAAAGAAGGTGGGACACACTTGGTGCCCATCTGCTAATCTGGATCCCAAGAATGTCATCACTTCCCACTGCTAAGTTTTTGTTGTGTTGTTATTATGAGTATGTGAATTTGAGAAATGAAGGAAGAGGCGATTTTCTGAAGAAAAAAAACATAAAATTTTGAAATAAAAAAAAAAAAAAAAAGATTTGATAATTTCTTTACCATCTAAGATGGGATGGATAGTATATTTTTAACCAATTATTAATTATTTAATGTTAGTTAATCTTATTATATTTAATTATTTAAATTTGGAAGATTTTTAAGACAATTTATACTATAGGTAATTTTATCCAATTTTTTGGAATGGTATATAAGAATTTCCCAAAAAGAATTAGATCGATCCAAATCAATGTGACTAATTGGTTCTGTAGATTCTTTGCATAATTGATTAATCAACTAATCGAATGGCTAAACCTATCTGTTCTTATATTACGTCAATTAGATTAGATTTTTAAAACACTGATTTTAATAACTTACTATGCACTACAAGAAAAATTGCATTTAGCTAGGGGTTTGACACCCCCCCCCCCCCACACACTAAAGCAAAAAATCCATCATAAAACATCAACTTTCAAGGGGATATGACCCCTAGCTAATCAGAGCATCGCAAATTAATGGCTAGAGGATAAGCCCCTCGCAAATTTGGCTAGGAGATAAACCCCTCGCAAATTGTCTTGGAAAAAATTTAACCTACTATGCTGCAGGCAATAGACACAGACTAGCGCACCGATATGTCAGATATTTGCTAGGGGATAAACCCCTAGTCAAATCACCTGCATTATGCATTTAGTGAGGGATAAAACCCCTAGCCGTTTGTGTCAGATTTTTGCGAGGGGTAAAACCCCTAGCTAATGATTATAATATTATTATTAAAATTTATAATTATATTATTTTTAATTATATTATTATAATTAGAATAATATAATTATATAATAAATTTTTATTAAAATTTATAGTTATATTATTTAATTATATTATTATAATTAGAATAATATAACTATATAATAAATAAATATATTTTTTATAATTATATAATAAATAAATAAATATTTTTAAATTTTGTAAAATACAATAACTTATAATTAAAAGTGCAATAAAATTAAATATCCACATCCATCATTAAAATAAAAATAATTCATGCAAAAATAAAATATAAAAATACATATTAAAAGTTTCATATTTCAACATATTTAATCAACTTCTTCATCATCCTCCTCATCTTCCTCGTCTATTTTTCCAACACCTTGATTCATATGCGAAGCCATAAATTGTTCAAACTTTAGTGCACACTCATTTGCAATCTGTATTGCTTCCTCATACTCCGTTGTTTTCCTCCTCAACTCTTCCTCCATCTCTCCTTGTCTTCTTCTAATTTCCTCCATCTGTGCTTGTCTAGTTGCTGCTTTGCGTGTTGCCTTGGCCTACTCCAAATTTGTCACAATTTCAAGCATATCAACAATTAATATAGGTGGGTGTGATGATCCTTCTCCATCATCAAGTCTCATTCTGAAAGTCCTCACGCCGCTTAATTGTTTTGGCATACCCTCAAGCACCGTACACCCTCTCATTTTCCCTCTTTCCGCGAGCAACATCATATACAAAGTCCAAAAACTTAGACAAGGATCAATAGGATATCCCTGTGGCGGTGGAGGTAACCCAGGATGCTCAGATAAAGAAAATAGAAGTTTTCTATCATACTCCTCCTATAAAAAAAATAAGTTAGATGTTATCATAATAATTTAAATAAGATAGGTACATAAAACAAAGAAATAAAATGACTAAATTTTAGAAAAACTTACTTAAGTGTCCTTTGAGCGTTTATCGACAAACTCCCCATTTTTCTTGATATGAGTCTCTAGATGGATCTCATTAAGCATCGGAGTTCTACCCAACTCATCACGCTAATAAAATAAAACATAAGTGAAAAAATAGTTAGTTTTAATCCAAAATTTAAATGAAAATTTAAGTAAATAAATAAATAAATTTACCAGCCTGTGTGCAATTTCAGAAACACTAATACTGCCTACTGCGTAGTTGCAGCCACCGACTTCAGATGCCCTATTTTTTTTTCTATTTCAGATACCTGCTTAAAGGTTTCCGAATTACAATGGTCAATAAAATTCTTAAATACATATTCACATATCCAACAAGGACGTGTTCCTTTTTTAATCCCATTTAATTCGAACACGCCTAAGCGTGTTGGATAATCGGGTAGCACATTTCATATCAAAATTTTCTCTTACTTGTTGCTGCTCTGAAAAGTCACAAACACATTTCTCCTACATTGTTTTATGAATTTAAAAAAGATCAAATAATGTATAATCATGAAATAAATTAAATATAAAGAAAATTAAAATAATAGTTACTTTTTATACCTGGAATAAACTAAACCAATCTTTCTTCTCTTTTTCGAGAAGTGCTCCATATGTCGGCCAAAACTTTTTATACTTTTCTTTAATAATTTTTGTTATACATGATACTGCCTGGTGTGATGGTATAAGGCTAAACAAAAAAATCTTGATTTAGTATGAACATTAAAAAAAATCAAATTTAAATTTTAAAAAAATAATATATAAAACATACCTTCCTCCATCGCAGTGAATGACATATCTGCACTTGTATTTCCTAATTGTTTTGGGCTTTGCATTTCTCGGAATGCGCATCTTTCTTCGCTCCTCACGAGCATTGTCAGGAGCACTAATATCTCCATGATCATAAGAACTGGTACCTCTATGACCATGAGCACTAGGATCATCCTCATCATCCTGCTCATCATGCGTAGAATGCACGGGTGATAAATGTGGCATGCTAGATCCACCAGCCTCCATATATGGCATAAAATGCTACACGGGAGATGAATTTGGCATGCTAGATCCACCAACCTTCATATATGGCATAACATACTGCATGGAAGGCATCGAAAAGCTAGGCCCGCTCGACTGCATGGAAGGCATCAGAAAATATGTGGGATGCGGGGTACTAGGATGCATAGTAAGTGCATATCCAGAAGGACTAATAAAGACCAGCACAGATATCAGTGGGAATGAATAAAAATCAGGTGTGAATAGTAATCCGGTGAAAGATCCACCAAACATGGGTGAAGTCTGCATAGGCGTTGGAGTAAGGTGCACAGGCGGTGGAGTAGGATGCATCTGACTCGAAAGTGGCATAGGAATAAACATAGATGAATCAGGAACCTTTTCTATAATGAATCTTGTGCGGCAAGCCTTACCCTTACCTTTTTCATCACTTCGAGGTGGAATTTTTAAACTAAAATATTTCATAAAAACATAAAAGTAAATTAAGTCAAGCAATTACACAATATTATTATTACAATACATATTACACAATAGTATTATTACACAATAGTATAATTACACAATACAGTATCACCCAATTATTCATCATTGTATTCATCATTGTCTTCATCAGATATGATATTATTTTCTTCAGAGTCTCCTGACTCTTCTTGCTCTTCTTCCACATGATTTGCTGACAATGAGATGGTTGTGTCAACTTGTTGACCCACAATTACAGTATCACCCAAACTTGTAATCTCCTCAATTTCAATTACCTCATTCACTAGTCAAATCTCATCATCTTGGTATGCAACATCATCTTCCATTACACCGTCAGATACAATATAACCCATTGGATTTGACTTGATTACAACACACCGTCCTTGTTTACTTGGTTGAATTGAAGGATAAGGAACGTAATAAACTTGTCTAATATTATGTGCCATTATGAAAGGGTCATACTCTTTGTACTTTCTATCCATTCGAACCTCAAAAGTGTTATATTTTTTAATCTATTTTAGTTCCTCTAGAGGATGAATCATACTAGTCACAATAAAACATGACAACTTTATTTTTTGAGTCCATATAATTATATACCAACTCATAAATATGTGTGATAACACCATAAAAGTCGTCCTCACCACCCTCTGTAACTCCTTTTACAACTACACCACATGTTGCAGTGAGAATCGTGATACCAAGCTATTGATTAACTTGAATCTTAATTCTTAAATTCACAACCGGACTTTAATTTATCCAAAAAGGAAAGGTTTAAAGAAAGAAAAACCCATTAAAATGCAAAGCAAAAGGAAAGGCCTAAATCTAAGCAAAGAGAGATCTAAAGGTTTGGGGGTTGGTTATGCCTAGGGTAGGTATTTCACATCCTAAACATCTGTAGTACTCTATAGGAACCTCTTGTTAATATTTATGTTTGCTAAAGTTTGCTTGCTAAAGGAAATGTGCTATGGGTAAAGATATAAAGTATATACAAAGTTTGGTAAAGTATGCTCGCGAAGACATCGCATCTCGTGCCTACGTATCCTGATGGGAATGGAATCAGAGCAACCGTAGTTCCCCTAACTAAGGGGGGAGGAACTCTTGACTATGGTCAAGGTTCCAAAGGTAAAGTAAATGTCTGCAGCGAGACACCTACATAGAGTGCGGCGACTCTAAACTAAGGTTAAGTTAGAAAAGAAGGGAATGTCCACGGCGGGACAATTAAATAGAGCACGTCGACTCCAAGTCCTATGGCAAAGGTAAATAAAGGGAATGTCCACGGCGGGACGACTAAATAGAGCACAGCGACTCCAATTCTAAGTTTTAAATGTTAACAGGAAGTTAGTTGTTAGTGAGGGAGAAAGAAAAGATTGGTTATTAGTTGGTGAGGTTGGTGCTAACATGAAGTTTGTGTTCCAATCAGTTTTTTAAACAAACTATGACAGCAACTGTCAATACTCCAAACTGGTATAGGCTGCAAACTTCTCCCACAC